GAGGCCCTGATCCACGATTCGCGAGTGTTTGATGTGACACTTAAACAGGGATGTGCATTTGAGTCAAGTTAGCCGGAAAAAATACAGCTGGACAGCGAAATAAAAGCTAATCAAAATTAGAAACTGACATCGCCAACTAGAAATCAGCAAAATTTCATTAACCTTTATCAGTGGGTTATCGCCGTATTTTTCTCTGACATACTTTGCACCAGCCTCCTCCCATTCCTTGGCCATGGCGTCCAGTGTCGGTGTGTCGAATCTCAGGAAGTACCAAATCCTCATCGCATGCACGCTCTAGAAAAAGGAACTCGGTAGTCTTTGAAGTACCCTGAAGATAACTACGAACAGATTGGACGATTGGACGTTTTTACCAAAGCCTACTTCACTTATCACGGAAAACTCTTGAGAACACTAGTCAGAAATAGGTTATTTAAAGGCATAACCCAGGCAGAAGTCATGTGAAGCGATTCCTCTCGGTCTGTAGTATACCCCTAGAGGACAATCACAAATGTGGCATTCGTGCACGGAAACCAACCGACAAGAGCGCTAGGGCCTTGCAAAGTAAGCTGCTGAAGCTGCAGATTTTTTTTTATCAGGCTGTTGTCTGGCGCCTCTCATCTGTAGCGCTCTCTCGCCTCATACTCTCCTCTCCGCGCTTAGTCTCTCATTCCCTTAGCACAGCCGATTACGAAAACGAGTAAGCCCTTGACAAAACGTAGGCGCTAAGGCCCTAGGATGCAGTATTGGTTCCGCGCAGCACCACTGACCACAAATCGGTGCTATTTCGCTTAGCTGGTACTGGAGAGAAGGCTTTGTTTGATTGTGCTGCCAAGATTAGATACGTATCGATTGAAATCGCCGGAGAGTGTATTCACCTGTCACCTGTATCACCTGTCGTCCCGTTGATCGTCGATTTGCTCGAGCGGGCGCCAGCAACGTCTCCATTCGTCCCTGTCGCGTGCTAGGGTGGTCCAGTGGATCCTCCTTGCTCGAGGGACACGAAGTCCATCATTCCTTTCGTTCAGAGCTTTCGTGAAGAAGTCTGACCATCGGGCCGGCGGTCGTCCAGGTGTTCGTTTGACGTCCCGAGGGATCCAGTCGGTAACCGCTCTGGTCCAACGGTCATCGCAAAATCGCATGACGTGTCCGGCCCACCTTATCTTCGATTCCTTGGCGAAAACGGCAGCGTCCCTGATCTTCGATCGTTGGCGTAGTTCCGAACTCCGGATTCCCCTCTGCACTTGCGTGTATAGGGTTACTCCTAGCATCGTCCTCTCGACAGCGCGTTGGATAACGCTGACCGCATGCTCGTCCTGCCTGCGCAGAGTCCAAGTCTCTGAGGCGTAGGTTAGGGCAGGAAGGACAGCGGAATCGAAGAGGTGGGCACGGAGCCGGATGTTCTTCGTCTTCTTCACTACTCCCTCGATGTTCTTGTACGCTCCCAAGCCGCTCGTTTCCTCCTGCTCAGCTCTGGAGCTAGATCGTTCATCATATTGATTTCCCGACCTAGGTACACGTAGCTGGAGCATTCGGTGATGTTCGTTCCGTTGAGCGTGAATGGGGCATCAGGAACCAATCCGTTTCTCATAAACATCGTCTTCGTTAGGTTCAGCTGTAGACCAACCTTACCACAGGCGCAGTCGAAATCAGCCAGCATTCGCTCCGCTTGCTCGATGTTCGGCGTTATAAGAACGATGTCGTCAGCAAAACGAAGGTGGTGTAGTTGCCGGCCGTCGACCTTCACTCCCATGTCTTCCCATTCCAGTTGACGCATGACGTTCTCGAGAGCGGCGCTGAAGAGTTTGGGCGAGATGGTGTCGCCCTGTCGGACCCCTCTCTTGACGTCGATGATGACCTCCTTGTAGAATGGTGAGATCCTGGTCGTAAAGTTGCTGTAGAGCTCACGAAGAATCTTGATGTACTGAGTAGGGACGCCCTGGTTGCCCAAGGCTTCGATGACCGCTTCTGTCTCCACAGAGTCGAAGGCCTTCTTCAAGTCGATGAACGTGAGACAAAGCGGCATCTTGTACTCTCGTGAAACTTCAATGAGTCTTCGTAACCGTGTGGATATGGTCGATCGTGCTGAACCCTCTTCGGAACCCTGCTTGCTCGCATGGCTGTCCTTCATCTAGTATTCTGCCGATCCTGTTAAGGATGACTCGTGTGAATAGCTTGTAGATTACAGACAGCAGGCAGATTGGGCGATAGTTGCCAATGTCGTCCAAGGTCTCCCTTCTTGTACAGCAACACGGTCCTGCTGGTTTTCCACGGAGTGGGTACCTTGCATTCCGACAGGTAGCGCGTGAAGAGTCGAGCCAGAGTTTTGATGATAACTGGCGGTGCGTTCTTCAGATGTTCCGGTTTAACCCTGTCGAGACCGGGCGCTGTACAATTCTTCACCGACTTGATGGCGTGTCGGACTTCGGAAGAGAGAACTGAAGGGACAACGTATCCATCCTCTTCGCGGTTGATAAGTAGGCAGATGGACATGGCTATCGAAGAGATCCGAGTAGAAGTCGTGGATGACTTTCTCCATTTGCCCTTCGGGATGCAGTAACTGTTCCATCTGGACGTCGGAGGCAGGTCATCTTGGTCTTGTAGCTGGCAAAGCTTCGGCGGGCATTGCGGATGCTCCTCCCAGCCTCTGCTGCTTCAGCTAATACTGCTGCTCTTCGCTCCTTGAGATCTTCCTTTATCGCCTCTCTGCATAGCTTCGCAAGCTCGGACGTGAGTTGGTGATTGCCTGCAGCTCGTGCGGCTCCACGCTGGCGTATCAGTTCGAGAGTTTCCGGAGACAGACGTCCCTTGGTGACTTTCAAACTCTCTGCCTTCTTGCCACAATCGTGAAGATGTTCAACGAGCCGATAGTACTCCTCGTCGATGTTTTCGATGACGGAATCCTCCCATAAGCTGACGAGGGAAGCGAAGTGGTCCCAGTTGATGACTGTCCTGGGACTTCGCTTCCTGAACTTTGCTGCTCTCTCAACACGCATCGAGAAGTGGAATCTTGCGCGGAGGAGACGATGGTCCGATCCCGTGTAGAACTTTGGAACAACAGCGACGTCGGTCAGGCAAAACCTTCGATTGAAGATGATGTGGTCTATCTCGTTATGGAACTGTCCATCAGGTGACTCCCAAGTCCAACGAAGGTGAGAGGGCTTCTGGAACTGCGAGTTACCATGGATGGTGTTGGTCGACATGATAAACTCAGACAGTCTTTCGCCCTGCTCATTCCAATCCATTCCGTGAGTACCGATGTGAAGTTCTTCAGCCGTTCTTCTCGGGCCAATCTTGGCGTTGAAGTCGCCGACGATGACCTTGAAGAAGGTATGATCTTCCTTGTAGAACTTCTCCAATTCCATATAAAATGCTTCGTGTTCCTCCTCGTCGTAGCTCGATGTTGGTGCGTAGGCGACGAAGATTGTCAAAGCAGGAGTTGAACCACATCTTCTCAATCTCAAACGTCCGATTCGGGTCGTAAGGCTTTCGTACGAATCGATGTTTATGGCCAAGTGCGTGTTGACGAGGACACCCACACCGCCAACGCCTCTGCTGTCGCATGTTCCAAGGAACAGTTCTTCTCCAGTATCGAAAACGGCGTGTAGCGGGCGGTGCCTTCTCGTCTCGGTCAGTCCGATGACGTCGTACTTGATCTTCCTGGCCTGCATTCATAGCTAGAGGTAGAGGACTGCGATATTACGAGGTAGGCTAGTAGTAGAGTAAGAGATTAGAAAAGTATTAGATTAGGATAGTGCGTTGACAAGATTAGATGTGTATTGATCTATTTCCCAAAAAAGTCGCCCAATCTGCTACTCTCCAACGAACTCAATCGATACGTATCAAATCTTGTTAGCGCAATCTCCTACTCTACTAAAACCTTAATATCTATCGCCTGCTATCTTAATCTTCCGAGTAGGAAACTATGAACGCGACCAAAGGTTTTCGGAATTCTTTTCATTTTTCGCAACTGCCTATTCGCACAACACATTCGCACTTGCGTGTGGCAAAAACAGCAATGGGCAGTCCCGGCAGGCATGCCTTTGAGCATATTCCAAAAATCAGTCTTTTAGAGGAACAAGTACAGTGTACTAACCTTGATCGTGTCGTTCGGAAATGTATCGACACCACCGATATTGAACGCTAAATATATTGGTGTACCTCCGGTATTCGCTTGAGGATAGGTGACAGTGATGCCTCTGAAAGCACCTTGTTGGCAGGATTAATCTCAAGTCCGCTACTCCAAACTTCTACTCACTTTGCCTCCAACTCATGACGCCGTTGCAGTAGCCTGATCATGTTGCTTATCTCCGTAGCATTCGCCGTAGTTATGCAAGAGTCCTAAAAGCCTTCCCTAATCAATTGCTCGTGTAGAAGTTTCGGTTCTTGTTCATGGAGGTCACCGTATCATTACATGGGCAAAGGTGTCCTTTTCATTTCCCATTGTGGTTGGCTCGTTAAAGGTAATATTAGCTGCTAAATCGGCCTCCATTCGCGCTATTTCGTCCAAGTATGACCCTAAAAAAGAGGAGATCATTAAGTATTCGTAGACGCGCATTGAGGCAGTGATTTCGTTAGTTTGTTTAGCACTTACAATCAGACTTGCTTCAGGAATGTCATCTACCCATCTTCCTAATTTAAGGTTAGTCTTTGGATTTTCGGAGGCGAGACTTGGTCTCCACCCAAATTAATATCATCGTGATTTCGACATGGCCCTCTTCTTTACAAGGTCTATTCCTTCAGCGATATAAACACATTGGAATGATCCGCCCACAGAGTGTTTCAGGTAACTCAAAAGTGGAGAGTGATGCACTATGCCTCAAAAAAAGGCTCAAAGCAACAACCCTAGATGGATTTTGGGGTAAAAGCGGTCGGCCAAAATTATGATAATCGCGAGTGCTCACGGTCATCCTTACCTTTTTTCTGAACAATTCTTTTTCCTCCTCCTTTTTGGCCCTAGTTTGATAGGGCACAATGACTTCTTTCTATTGTGTCCAAATATAATAGTTTTCAAAGTTAGTGAGACACCACATCACGGTATGCCAATCCTCAAACTGAACCGACAAGGAGCTCTGGCACGCTACATCTCGAATTAGTTCAAGGTATCAAAGAAGCTCCCATGGGTAATGGATGAAAGCTTCAAGACGTTAGGAACAACCCAAGATGGAAAAGTAGGAGATTCAAAAGTTACACTTGCCAACAGGTCAACTTCAGACGTAAAAACTCGTCTTCCTCCTTGCGACTTTCGGATCGCCAACTTGGAAAAATTGATGTGAAAGGCCGCATCGACAATCTCAAGATCTAATGACTGTCATGGACAAGATCCACAAATAAATTACTCTGGACGCCTAAACAGAACATGGCACCTATTATATGGCAAAGCTCTTGCAAGGAGGGTTTTTTGTGTTGATACTCTTCTAGCAACTGTTGCCTAAGAATATCTCGCCAAACTCAGCTGCATTTTCTGCATGGCTAACCTGGAGGTAAGAGCAAACTAAAACCATAAAAGGGCTGTTTTCCTGAAGACAGCACAACAAAAAACGTGGAATCACTTTGACGCGTCTCACCTGCGTGCTACGGTGTACGCCTTCCCCTTCATCTGAAGGCATTAATGCATTAGTGAATTTCCAAAGCCAACCTAACTTCTCGCTTTGCGATAATAGTCTCCAATACTTTCTTGACGTCTTGTTTCATTGAACTAATATTCGCTTTTAATGACATAATGTCTTAGTTACCACAATTTTGGCCACCTGTAGATGCCGAATTGACGAAAAATAAAAAGAGCTGAACGCGGCTTGATAAAGTCGGTAGGACAAAGCGTTCCCTCTTTTTCGGCGAAATGGAGTGGGCGTGTATTCAGGAAGTTAACGGGATTTAGATGCCTTCATGGTGCGCTAGTGATGGTATATGCTGAATAAGGAAGCTACGTGTAATGATGTTAGACGTGTATGGGGTATGCACGAAATATTATCGCATAGTCATTGGTGAGGGCTTCCACCGCTCATCGTGGAGCATTCCATTTGCGCGCAGGAAAGCACACAGTGGTCTGAGGAGCAGTCCATCCTACCCACGGAATAGGATTGTCGACAGTGACCTGTCTCGGAGGTGTTGCTTCGAACAGCTCCGGTTGAAAGGCAACCGTCCGGCCGGGAATCGATTTCGGCTGGTATGGAAACCATCATGAACAACATCGAGATGAGAAGACATAAACATAATATTCGCGAAGTAGGCAAAGTTGAGAAAAAAACCGCACTGCAGTTTTACACTCAAACATTATGGAGTGTCGTGTGTGGCCATAGTACGTGCGACTAGGCGGATGTGAGGCGCAGAGTCGTCAATAGGCGGTAGGCGAGCAGCCGATGAGAGAAGGTAAGTGTGGATCTTGTTGCTCCGCCGCGAAGGGCGAAGTTCGGGCGCTATCGTTATCGTCACAACGTTTATGGGCGAAGCGAAATAAGAAGTATGTCATGTCTTCCCGCAATACTACTTGCCTATGGCCTATGCTAAATTTATACGTATTTTTAATCATAGACTATCGTTCAATCGCACGCTAATCGCCTTATCGCTTAAAGCGAGGGATTACGATAAGTTTGACTGGGTTCATAGTGGAAGTGGAGATGCTGAAATAATGCCCCAGTGGCGAAAAAAGCAAAGAAATCCGTCAAGAAGGCGCAAAATGGGACCCCTTTCTTTGCCCGTTGACCTCCGATAATGGACGAGCTAGCAACCAATTAGGAGGTCGTTTGCACATGTTATGCTGATAGCCTCTATCATTTCAGCAAGCATCATGCTTTGATTGATCACGCATCCCATGAAAAGTTATAGGATACACTCTGGAAGTGGAATATCTCGTCACATTGGCAATCGAAGGGCGCTGCTGCTGGGGGCGGAGCACAGACCGTGGCGGGGCTCAGAAAGGAATGGCAAGCCTTGTACGCTGCAACTAGCGCACCTTTGACCACAAAAACGCAACATTTCGTTTCCTTGGGCCCCTGACTACTGCTTCCAATGGTGCATGTACTTCCACGCTGCATACGCACTTTATCGTAATCTCTCGCTTTAACGCCTACAAAGTTCTACGGGCGGAGCAAACCAATCAATACGTATGTTGTCTTCCCCGCCAAATCGCCTACTCGCCTACTCGCCTAATCGCCTAATTTATACGTATTTTTTCCATTGTAGACTATCGCATTGTAGACTATCCAGACATCGCTCAATCGCCTAATCGCCTAATCGCACGTACGATCGCCAACTATGAACACTCCATTACACTTCGCACATGCACGTTGAAGTGAACAATTGATGGAAATTTTGAGTGAGACAAAAGCTTTCTAGCCTACTTAACAGCTTCAGATCTCGCGAAAAACATCAGAATTGCAAGCAGTACTGGAGCCCAACCGTTTAAAATGTTCGGATAAGACCCGTCCTCGTTGAGACGTCCATGTACGACTAAGTAGAGATATCGTCGCCATTCGAAAGTTCGCTCCGGCAGAAACTCTTGCGGTTTCACCGGCCACAGCTGCAAAATTAATTAGATGGGATTTCACTAGTGAGCGCTGGAGCAATGAGTTTACCTCGTTCATCACATGCTCTTCCTTCCATGAAAGTGCACTGACAGGCGTGTACAATCTGTAATTGTGTGCATATTACTACCCTTACTATTACCCAACAACGATTTTTATTAATGCAATTGATCGGCTATGACAATCAATCGACACAACTGCTATGGTAAATGAAAAAGAGTTTACGGCGCAGCCAACTCACTTCCTGGCGTCCAGCACTGTCAGTTCTTCTATCCATATAAAACCACATCCAAGTATCGCTGTCATTATTAATGGTATAATAATGAATACCTAAATAAGATTTCAATCACTATGACGAACAAGTTATCCGTTCCAACCAAAAAAATCAAGAAAAATCAATGAAAATTATTTTGTATCACTTGGAAGTCGGACGTACATTACAACGTACACACACCGTGTGGTTCATGAGACTGTTTTGGGTAGTTCGTGTTCGAATAAGAGAGATTTTCCGACTTGGGCGGATATCCTCACAAACCACGCCCACACTCGAGGTGCTCTTTGTCTTTGATGAAGTCACAAAGACGTTTCCCAGCTGCATGTGATACTGGTGAGCGCTTCATCTGCGAAATACCATTAAGGTGTTTACGATAGGCATAAGAAGGGTTTATAGGACGTTGGTGGTGCTCAATGGTACGCCAGTGGCGAAAAAAGCGGAGAAATCCGTCAAGAAAACGCAAAACGGGACCCCTTTTTTGGCCGTTGGTTTTCACTCATGAACAGGTAACAGCTCAGAAAGCGGACGTATGAACGAGTTCATCGCAACGCGTTTGGTGAC